AACATATATTTTGTCACCATATATATTATATAAAATAAAGAGAAATTATATTTGACTTCAGTTGGATCATCAAAATCAAGTGATAAAAAACTTTCCACCCACTTTACAACATWTTTACCGGTAAGTATCTACTTTTACTTGCTTTAAAAAATAATGTCAAAACATTTCCTTTACATATTTGCTTGAATATATTTACAGATTTGCAATGATGGCATCTTGTACAGTTTGTTTATTTCTGATTCAACTGTTTGACATTTGAACTGTTTGGTGAATGTAAAAATAGCTTTCTGTTGATACCAAACATGTCCAGGTTCAACTGACAGATCTTAAGTTAAAATAAGTTAAAAGAAATAAAAAAAAAAACGGAAAAAAGCTGTTTTGCATGATGGGGCTGCAGAGGTTAAAGCAGATATTAGCTGTTCTGTTCCGTCACAGRTTACTGGTTGAGGAAAGCGAACAGGTAGTGCATCACGATGAGGAGAGAACGCGGGAAGGTGGAGAGGATCGATTTAATCTGGGCGGCTTTCTCCGTCTCCTCCTCGATTTCTTCACAACACGAGGAAAACAAAACAGGAAACACACACACAGAGTGAGGATGTGTCAAAAAATAAAATAATTAGGAAATAAAATCARTGCTGAGGCACATTAAGGCATCTTACGGACACACTCCAGCAGCTGAGAGTAGCTTTCATAGGGGAACAGAGGAGGCTCCAGGCCCCTGAAGTACAGCTTCAACACACCAGCAACAGAGTCCAGATCACACTCGCTGTCAGACAGAGGGTCCTCTCCTGCCGGGATCCAAACAGAACCAGCTAACTAGCAACTACTCTCAAAGCTTCATTTATCTGTAAAAACAGCTATCTGGTTTGAGAAAAATCAACCAAACGATACGTGCAAAAAAGCTGTTTTGCTGCACGACTCGTCAGAAAATGCAACCCATCAGTTTGCAAGAGATTTTAGCTTGTAGACGGCCAAAAGTTTAGGTTCTGATTAGTGTTTACCTCTCTCAAATGCATCTCTGATGACGTTGACCTCCCTCTGTGAGCCAGGAACTCTGAAAATCCCCTCATGATGGAGGCCTGCAACACAAACACCAACATTATAAAACACGCTCGCTCCACGCAGGTTGAAACAGACACTAAGTTCTTCCACCTACTCATCCCTCCTCATCCAAAGCCTCCTCACCACCGTGTCCTGATATATCATAAAAAACTGACTCACCGTGCAGGTTTATGAAACGGATGCAGCTTTCAACCACCACAGGAATCTGCTGTCCAGAGCTCTGCAGAAAAATAAAAAAGAGATATTACCAGAAACATATGAGTTTATCTAAGTTWGGCATATTTTAGGTATGCATCTACACTATGGAATAAATAAATAAATAAATACAGATATAGTGGGTATACTGTGGGCTGAATGGCTTAGCTAAAACGTGTTGAAGAAACTGAAACTACCAAGTAAAAAAGGGCCAGCTAAATGATAAAATTGCTAATCTAAAAGTTTAAATCTAGCAAAAAAAAAAAAGAGCTAAATGTATGAATTAGCCAGATTAGCCAGATGATTAGCCAGATGATTAGCCAGATGCTAATACTAAAAAATAAAAAAGCTAAAAGTGAGACTAAAAACTAAAAGTAGCAAACCACTAGCTAAGAAGCTGCAAGTAGCAAAAAGCTATCTAAAAGTAGCAAAATGCTTGCTACAAGCTAAAAGTAACAAAAAGCCTATCTATAAGCTAAAAATAACAAAAATCTAGCTATATGCTAAAAGTAACAAAAGGCTATCTATAAGCTAAAAGTAACAAAAATCTAGCTACAAGCTAAAAGTAACAAAAACCTATCTATAAGCTAAAAGTAACAAAAATCTAGCTACATGCTAAAAGTAACAAAAGGCTATCTATAAGCTAAAAGTAACAAAAATCTAGCTACAAGCTAAAAGTAACAAAAGGCTATCTATAAGCTAAAAGTAACA